AACACCTCACTACCCTACCACCCACCACCAATCACAATTTTTAAATCAGGTTATTTTCACATTAAGTTTCGCACAGCGAGAAATCAAACATGGAACGGATTTTTTTCTAATAATTCCACCTTACAAGCGGACTCTACCCACCCCACAAAAATAATTTTGAATAGTCTCCACTGTCCCTCGGATGAAGAACACAGGCGTGTTCGAAAATTCCAAACTTGGAACCTCAATCTCCGTGCTTTATTTTTGTCACTGTGTTAATATTAATAAATAATATTAATATTATGTGTATATGTTGTGTGTTTATGTATGTGGGGATTATCATCTGTTTATGTATGTGTGGATTATCATCAGTTTAGTTCTGGTTTAAATATTTTGTGAATTTTTTTCTTGTATTTGTATGTAATAATAACTGTCTGTTTGGTAGATTGGCATAAGTTTAAATTTACCTTGATTACATTTGTAAATGTGTTGTGATATAAAGAGTTTTCTTTTGTCTGGTAATTTGATGTTGCTTTTGTGAAGGTTAATATTAACCAATTTCACACTCTACTTCAGAACTTACACCCAAAAATCAAATTTACTCAAGAATATAATATTAACGAATTACCATTTTTAGCTATACTTATTAGAAATAGAAACAGCCACATAATCACAGATATATACCAGAAACCTACAGACCCCGTCAAAAGTCTGGCAGAAATTTGATGCGCTGATGGAAAAGGCACGAATGGAGTCGGAAGAACTGTGCAACGACAACAATTCAAAATTTCATTTTTTTTGTGATTTTAGGGCAAAATTCTAAGATCGACTTAGAAAATGGACGTGGACATTTATGCCTCAAAGAAAAGAAGAATTCTTTTTAAGACTGACATTGGCGGGGAACTGAAGACAATAAAAAGGAGACGGATGAAAGGGAATTTCTAAAACCGTTATCTCTTGGTTCCAGACTGGATGGGTAGATTGGATATGAAAGGGAGCGGCCCGTCAATTCCAGACGGAAGATGATGTCCAGAAGGGACAAAAGCAATGGAGATAGAGAAAAAAAAAATGGATTCGTAACAACAACAACAACAACAGGATCATTCATCATCATCATCATCATAATGAAATTATTTTTATTAAAATTTAAGATAAAAACAACAGGAAAAGCAAATCTAGCGATATCATCATCATCATCATTAAAAACAATTAAGAAAAAAAGATGAAATAATATTACTGATAAAATACTTTCATTCCCACAGACCCTCTCCCCACCTCCAAATTTTAGCTTCACTTCCTCCTCCCCTAAATTATTTTTTTTTATCTTTTCTGTATTTTTTCTAAACGACATCTACCCAAACTTTTGTCATCTCTCTCGACTTCTTGTGTTTTTCAAAGCCATCCCAGACTTCCATTTTTCGATGCCCGAAAGAAAGAAATAAAAAGATTAACTCTATGCAGTCCAAGGAAAATTCTTCTTTCTATTCATCCCCTTAAATTGACCCTTTATTTGTTTTTTTTAAACTTCTTTTGGTTTTCTCTTTCTATTCAAATCTATAAATAAACTTGCCGAATAAATCTATTTTTAATCTAAGCCCTGATTTTTTTTGACACTTGTGTTTTTATTTGGATGTGTTTTTCAAAACCGCGATGAATTCTGGTCGATAAAATTCATCCGAAATTGTCTGCCTTTTCCTGCCATTTGTTGGTGCCATTCAGAATCGGTCTTTGGAGAGAAAAGTCAAAAGAAGAAATTGAAAACAAGAAAAAATGTATTTCACGTCAAGAAGTCAATAAAGAAAGAAACTTTCTTTTTTCATTTGTTATGTGGGTGGGGTTTAGTTATAATAATGAGGGGGTGAGATTGAACGAACAGTGAACAAATTAAACATTAATGCCCTTGGGGAAAGCATGAATCCATCTCACCCCCACCCCCACTCCAAGTATGGGACTTCGTCTCGAGTAGTTTAATAATAATAATAATTAGTTTAAGTCCCAGGGAGTGAACCATCGCGGTAGTACCTCTCCTTCGGGATGGCGCTGAGATGTCCCAAAAAGTAGTTGTGTTCGGGTGGGGAAGGTTGACCAATTTTTCTACGACGTTGCCGATAAACTCACTTTAAACTCGACATTGTGTCATGCTCAGTAGCGACGTGAGCGCGCTGAAAAATATCACCCTCCAATTATGGATTAAATAGTTGTGAAGGCAGACCTCGCCTTGTTTGGCCACCATTTTCATAGAAGGTCAAGACTGATTTGAAATTTTCGACATGTCAATTATATTTCTAATAAGTCGTGGAAATGCACAGTTCAAATATCAAAGAAGAAGATGTGGAGAGTCACAATTCCTTATATCTTGAACGGGGATTAAATTTAATAAGGAAATAGACAAAATAGATTTGAGTAGTAGCCATATTTACTGTTTCATCAATATATTTTCTTTCTATTTAAACAAAATATTAAACTGAATCCAATTGGCTGGTATTATAGCGAGGTGATTGAACACAAAGGATGGAAGATATCCAGTTTGCCAGTTTTGATAAGTTGCAATAGTCATCTGCTTCCTGGTTACTTTCATAGAACTAGTGAGTGTTGTGACGTGTGCAAAGAGTATTAAGATGGAGGCGAGGTCTGATGTCTGTGTGTCTGTTGATAAATACATTTGAGGAAACAGCCTCTTAAATTATAATTGCTTTATTTATAGACATCGGAGTTTTTATTGTAAGAGTTTTGTTTCAAGGACCATAAGTCTGTTTTGACTATTTGATTTTACTAGTATGTTGGTATTGTTTATGTGTAACTGTCTAATGTTACCAATGAAAGGAACTGTTAGCATAGAATCTACGGTAACACCTAAGCGCAGTTAACAAAAGATTTTAGGTCTTTTGTGAGATAAGTTGTCAATTTCCCTTTATCGAAGCGACCAGACTTACCAATAAGACAAAAGCAATTAATTGTGACATCAGCATAGAGACTGGTTTGAAAACGGATGACATCGAGAAGGTTGTTGATGACAATTGGCCACATCGCTTATAAACAGACATCAGGTTAACTAAAAGTCAAGGTAAATTCTGGCCGATGCTAAGGGATGTCATTTTGATGTCGAAGAAACGAAAGTCACTCAATATGGATGTTGAATTGGTTTTTGTTTTTTTCATCTAATTATTATTTATTTTATTTTAGTTTGGGATTAATTCATGTTTGATTTATTTTAAAGAATAGGTTTTGAATTCAGCTGAAATAAATAGCAGGGTAGACTAGCTTCTCTAGCCTTGAATGTTAACCAGTCATGGGGAAAGGCTTTGGGAAACCACTCCATACCAAAAAGATTCAATGACATTTCACAAATATTGCAAAAAAGAAAAAGTCTATGGCTCTCCACAACCGCTTACTCTTAGGTTCGGAATAGAAGGGTAGGTTTGAATTAAAGGGAGGGGCATACTATTCCGGACAAGAGATTACGCCCTGAAGGGACAAAGTAACAGAGAGAAAAAAAAGTTTTTTTCTCTTTTTATTCAAGTTTGTCATGAAAATTATCGGATACTTGTTAATAAATCTTTTATTAATGTAACACTTGATTTTTTATTCATGCTTGTGTTTTCATTTCGATAAATGGCGTCGAAAAATTCGCCCGAAATTGTTTGCTTTCTCTTGCCATTTTTTTTTTTTTTTTTGGTGCAAAACAAAATCAGTCTCTTTTGGTATTTGGAGAGAAAACGATCCTGTGAGGTGAGATACTAAAGCCTCTAGTACTTTGTCGTAAAGTACTAATTAGAAGGACAATACGTTTTCGCTGAGTTCTTCAATATATATATATATATATATATATATATATATATATATATATATATGTATGTAGATATAATCGAAAAATGTTTTTTCTTAAGACAATAGTGGCCGTAATATATCATTAATAAATGCATTTGAAAGTTTTTCGAATTAAACAGCGTTTAATTTTTATTGTACGATTCAGAGTTGATTTTCTGTAACTGCGGGTCTTGTTATTAAAAAATGATTTAACTTTTCCAAAGACTTGTTCTTATAACTAATATAATCATTATAAGCTCCAAAGTTGAATTTCATAAAATTAAAAATGTCATGGGTACCTGATATAAAAATTTTTTTAACCAAGATTTTCTAAAAGAGGCACATTTCTTCAATAATTTTATTCGTTTGTGAATAAGGTCTGAAAGTGTTGTGATGAAATAACCTGACTTCCCCATTCACCATAAATGGACGTTCCGGTGGCCGATAAAGTTCGACCACAGTAAACAGTTGAAGGAGAGGTTCAACAGAGCGACAACAAAAGGTCTTCGTTGACTACACCATTGCGGTTAGCTTACTCCTACTCTGTCTCTGTATTTTGACATTCCTACATTCCGATATAAAGTATTATTATTTAAACCACCACTCGGGTTTACTTTGTTATTATATCTTTTTGCGAGATATAACGACTGGCGACGAGATATAACAGAAAGATTCATTAAAATTCGACAATTATCCGAATTTTGCAGGAATTTCCAAATCCATGTGTCTTTCACCGGAAAAAGACACTGAAATTTTCCACACTAAATTCCAGTCACCTGTTGACGCAAGAAAAACCAAATTTGTAATCAAAAATCCGAAGATTGTTAAAAGGTTTATAAAATATAATTTAATAATCAAAAAATCCTTTGTTCTTTCCTCTTAATAATAACTGTTTTTATTAAATTTCGCTCATTTTTTTCATGGTGTATGCTTATTTTTTATTGAATCTTTGGAAGTAGCAGTCAATTTGACATCCTCCCCATCGGTGCGTTCGATGTTCGATCCCTGCAGTTGATCGCTGAATGAACAACTTCGATCGAAGTCTTGCCTTGTCTTAGTAAAATCCTCCACTGACTTGTATGTTCTTATACCACCACACCCCATCCCTCGTGGGCTTCAGTTATCCAGATGAATTTGTTGGTTCAATTTCTCAAAATAATGAGTTCGTTTTAATTCAAATCATTTTTATTCCTTTTTCTCTGGTTTATTTACAGAAGAAAATGTCTGAATTTTAATCAAATCCTGTCTCGTTTCTTGGTATGTTTATCGGGCTATCTCTTAACTCTTCCAGTGTCGTATAGTATCAAATCTCTATCTTATCCTTTTTGTGTATCATTTACTTGTAGATGACACAAATTCCCTGCAATTAACAAAGCTTTTTATCATGCATTATTTCTTTTCTATTTCATGTAGTAGAATTAAAACAAAAATCTTTCCTTTTCTTTTATCATGCAATGTTTTAAGAGTCCTTCTTCTTCTTTTTCTTCTTTTTCTTTTTCTTCTTCTGTCATGTCATTCAATGTTTTTTTAAATGTTTCTTATTCTTTTATTATCATTCAATGTTTAATTATGGGGTTCGAACCATTCTTTACCAATTATTAAAATATTTTTATAGGAATTCTCCACCTCCCTTACTCTTCGTTTCAATCGATCCCCCATTTTTCTATTTGTTTTATGCTTTGCTCTTTTCCTCTCTCCTTAAAAGGAGATTTTGCTTTCTCTTTAATGTGTGTCGTCTCTGCTTCCAATTCTTCTGTCGAATTCAACTTGGTTTTCTCTTTGTCTTGCTTCAATCTGTTTCATTTCTTTCTATGCCTTTTTAACTTCCATATTGCTGTTACTATAGCAACAATAACTATCAGGGTATCTACTAATGTTGAATAATTTATTATAGTCTTCTTACATTCTTGCCAAACTGTATTCTCCTTTTCCGAACGTATTTAATCAGTTTTTCAATTGATCCAGACTAATTCTCTCCAATGGATTAAATAACTTAGGTAACTTCAGGGAATTTGTCTACTACTGGTTCCCATAACGTGGAGGAGGGGGTGTAGAGAGAGGAATATTCCAAATGCCAAACATCCCAGGAATTGTTGAATTTTGGGGGCAGTTGGAGACAAAATGAAATTCTGGTCACATGCCCAACATTGTAACCTTCTCCTGTTTATATTGGGCCACCCTCCCTTTTACTTCTTTCTTTGGGGGCGGCCCACCGACGTTTCCCTGCTTCTGTTTCTCAGAGACGGGTTTTGCAACGAGGGGCTCCGGGAGTTTCTTCTTAATCCCATACCACTTCGTCTCATGTCCACAACGACCACACCTGGTGGAATTTGGTTCGAAGAAATCCGAGGGCAGTCCCCATTTCGTTGGTCAGTCTATTGACCTGTGGCTTTCGTAACGACAGGTCTAACATATCAGCCTTAATCCGCCCGGGGTGGGTTTGAAAAAAAAAAATGCCCCAGTGTCCATGCCCTTGTATTGGGAACCACTTCCCATTCCTCTGGTTCGACCCCCTCCTACTTCATTTTTAAATCCCAGGTGGGTGGTCTCCTTTCCCCCGCCTTGCCTGCCTACCTCCCAAAGTTGCACCTGTGTTCTTTTGCCTCTCATCTTCTTCCACATTTTCTCGCTATCCTTAGCGATAAACCCCGACAGCTTGACCGGGTCCTCCTTAATAACATCATGCCTTATACGCTCGTCTTGGAGTTCTTCCACATACAGGTCAGTCAACTGGGATTGTATGGCAACATTTTCCCTCACTTCTCCAGGGCAGCTAATTTCCCGGCCCTCACTCACAAATCTCTGGGAGGATCGCCTTTCAAGTGGGCCAGCTTCACGAGGTTTCTAATTGTCTCTACTGCCGTTTCTTCGTCCGCATATTCGCCTAATAATTTCCCCCCTCTAATTCTGTCCAATTCAACTGAGGATCCCCTGCCAGGTGATCCTCAATAAATTTTAAGACCGGTCCCTCTGTTGCGATAAATGCCAAATAAACAATTTCCTTCTCGGGCAGATCATATATTAAAGTTATCCAGATGGCTTTGTTGGTTAAATTCTTCAGAATAATTAAGCCGTTTTATTTCAAGTCAGCCCTATTCTCGTTTTTCATGATTTATTCACAGAAGAAGCAAACTTACTGAATTTTAATAAAATCCTGCCATGTCTCTTCTTATGTTTATTGCGCTATCTCTTAACTCTTCCAGCGTCTTATAATGTCGGACTATGAACGTTATTTTCAGTGGGGACACGCATTTAAGTTGTACACCATTTTTCTTTTGTTGAAACAGTGAAATTAATAACAATCTTCAAACAGGAAGTCACGACGTGAGATCAGGTGACAGTCATCTCTCGTCCGATGTCTCGAACAACTCTCGTATTAGTCGCTTCCATTTTCTGATTATATAGACCTCCATCCATAACCAACATGGGGTCTGAAGGTGGGGCTTACTTTTAATTATTAATTTTAATTATCGCTCTAAATTTTCGTCAAATGGATTCCTCGATTCCAACTCCGTTCTCTCAACCGGACACCTCATTTGTTTGCAGTTTCGACCCTTGACGCTTGAGAGTTCAGCTCTTATCTCAGAAAATTTAATTTCTTTAGCGATTTGCCTTTTCCTTCTTTTTTGACAAGAGATATAAATCAATTTTATAATTACAATTTTGTTTGGATACAAACGAATCAGAGGCCATCATTTTCTTTATATTTTTGACCGACTTCCTTTCTTGAGTCATGGTCTGCAGAAAATTCCATAATCCGCGTTTTAAATAGCGATTAACAGTCACTGTCTCCATTTCAGCCTTGGCCTAATAAAATCCTCCGCTGACATGAATGTTATTACACCACCTCTCACCATCCCTCATGAGTTTAAATTATCCAAATGTTTTTTTCTATGGTGCAAATATATATATATATATATATATATATATATATATGGATGTATTTGAAATATTTTTATTGAACAACAAAAATCTATTTTAAAAATACTTTCAAAATCAATGTCTATTTTGTTGGAAACACGAAAAAAGTTGAAAATATCCAAATTATTGTAGAAAATAATTGAATTGTATTTTTGTTTAGAAATAATCTCTGTTTCAAGAGAGTAAATATTGCACAGTAAATAAAACTCATGTTTAGTAATATTAGGACATAAACTGAAAAAATAAAATGTGTAGACAAAAAAGCTACAAGCGTGAAAAAAAATCAAATAATAATAATAAAATTTGAAAAGAAAAAACATTAAAGACAAGAGATCAGTGTCGCCCGTGACGTATTAATAGACGCTTAAGTGGTAGAAGTGGGTAAATTATAGAATGGTCAGGTGAAGTTGGATAAAATGTACCCAGAATCAAAATACTTTAGGGGAGATCTTTTCTATGGATGGAAGCTATCATAAAATTCATTACGTTTGTTCAGTAGGTTTGGGGGTCATTAATATTTTTGAGAATGAATCTTTTTTTTTTCCAGCAAACACAGGCTACATCGGAAAAGGATTTAGTTTTGGCGACAAAATTCCAATTTACTACCCGTATGTAGTTATTTGTTTTAATTTCCCAGTAAAATTTCGAAAGTATCGTAAAAGTCTTGAGGAAGAAGGAAGAAAAACCTTTAAAATTCTGCATAATTGGTTTTACGAAGGACATCATGTTCTAAACCACAGATATTTTTCTTATTCAAATGTATTTTCTAAACCTGAGACGTTATAGTATTTACATTAGTCGGACTAATCTTTGTCGCCATATTTGTCACAACGTTTCGGCCGTTGTACGCTCCGGCCTTCTTCAGGTGGTTGGAATTTCGAACTGAACCCTTTATTTTGATCGCTGGGGTAGACTGTTCTAGTTCCACGTGCCATGTTTGATGGATGTCAGTTATCTCCTGCTAATTTTCCCTCTAAAAGTTCTCCACTACCTTAACCAGGAATTGAACTCACCTTCTTTGGGTCTGTCACTGGATCTGACCAACGCTTTTATCCACTGTGCCATGTGTCCTTGAGGATAAAGGCGTTGGTTAGATTTGGTCGATTTAAAATATAAAATTAACTATTCAAATTTATATCATTCAAATTCGTAAGTTCGAAAGTCGAAGAATTAAATAATAATAAGTTAAATTTGTATTTGGATTCGAAAATAATCCATGTATCAAGGGAAGTAAAGTAAATTATTCGAGTTCAGTTTCATTGCATGTGCGTAGAGGTATATAAGGAAAAGAATTGAAAATCGGTTCTGAGAATTTTAAAAATTGTTGCATATTATATTAACATTCGTAAAATCCATTTTGAAATCACATTTAATCAGGGTGAATGTTTTTGATCATGTGGTTGGATTTATGGACACATATAGACATTAATTCGGAACTCGTATTCAGGAACTTAGGATTATTTAAGTGTTTGAATATAATAAGTTTTTCCCACGAACACAATTTACATCTGTCTCCTTTTCCTTTTGTATGGTTTTGTTAAGATCGGACACTTACGGAAAACTGGACTTCTTCTTCGGAACGCTCATATACCCGAAAGAATTTTCGAAAGGAGATGAAAAGGTACCACCTCAATTTACTGGTTGTGGACAGCGGATTATTTGATTCCAGTTACAACAAAATTTGCGGTGTTTACCATCGCCAAAAACAACAACAGCAACAACAACAAATCATCATCATCATCATCATCATCAACAATAATAATAATAATATATCTTTTCTGTTGCTTTGTCACTTCTGAGCTTACAATCTATTCCAGGTTTAAGAATGGGCGGTTGTGGCTTTCCACGCATTTCTTTTTTAATATCTGTGAATTGCCAAGACCACTTGGAAAAGATATTTCAGTGATTTTCCGTTACTTTTCCCACATCTTTGAATTCATCGTTGTCCTTTTCCTATATTGGTTGCCACTCAAAGCTAAAGATACCAGTTTACCCTGTTATTTAACCCGTGATTCTTGTAAAATGTAAATGAAAGAGAAAAAGGAGAAAAAAAGAGAGACAAAATGTGAAAGCATAAAAAAGGAAATAAAAAGAGAAAAAAAAAAAGGTAAAAGCTATGAAGGGAATAAGAAAAATTATTTCTACGATTATTTGATTAAAATTAGAATTTTAATTGTTGAAAAAACCTCCAATAAAATCCCAAAATTGACAAACATAAAGTGTCGTTTTCTTTTGAAAGTATTTACATTAACGTCATCACAGTTTGACTCGTAGAGAAGTTGAATGGAAAACAAGGTGTTACTTAAAAGGTGACATCATCAGATTAAAAGATTAAAAAGAAAACGAAATTATAAAACTGTGACGACAAGTGATTATCTGTTTGATGTGACAGAGATTAGGATTTACTTGTTCATTTTGTTTTCTGGTCTTTTCTTTCGTTTTTGCTACGGACACACATTGCTAGGTAACTTGTATCTTCATACGGCACACACGCAGATGCACACACGCACCCCCCACAAGCACATATGCGCACGCATGCGCGCGCACACACACACATATGACCTGAAGATTGCGTTTAAACGTTAAACAGACTGTTGTTGCTCAGCGTTGATTTTAATGTCTTCCTATATATATATATATATATATATATATATATATATATGTATATATATATATATGTGTGTGTGTGTGTGTGTGTGTGTGTGTGTAAAAAAAAATGAAATTTTACCAAGTTTCGTCCTCTGTTGAACTTTATCATGGACATTTACCTTGAGAAATTCCATCAGAGGACAAAACGAATTGGTAAAGAAAAGTTTTCCTTTTGTCTTTATTCGATTTTCCACGGAGATAGATAGATAGATAGATAGATAGATAGATAGATAGATAAAAATGTAAATATGAGGTAATTTTTCTCAAATACGTACACAAGGCCACACACACGCATGCACAGAGACAGACACACACAAATCCACATTCTATGAGATTTTCCAAAAACATAAAATGAATATAAATTAATTAAATGAAAGAGAAAAAGGCAAAACTCTTGAAGGAATTGGAATTTAAATCTTTAAGCGCTTCGCAAAGTCTTAGCAACATTAAACAAAAATCAACAATGTTTCATTATTGCTGACCCTTTAAGCACTTAGCATGAATTATGATCTTGTTGAAAGTGGCTTTGTCATCGAGAAATTGCCCACTGACTGAATTGATATTCTTGGAAATAATGACAGCTTTTGCGACATTTTTTTCTTACTGTCGCTGACATGATAAGCAAAATAGTTTCATTATTAAAATTTTGGTTTGGCTTGTTTTACGGCATATCAACCACAATGGGTTATTTAATGCCGACAACTTTTATTGCTAGTAATTTTTTTTCCTTCAAAAATATATCGCTGGTAATATTTTTCAAAAATGTATAGCTGGTAATTTTTTTTTCAGAAATCTATATCTGGTAATTTTTATTTTTTCAAAAATGTATACTTTGGTTTGGTTTGTTTTGTTTTACAGCATATCAAAATAATAATAGTTCTTGTGGGAATATAATATATTCAATATATCTGTCATGTTCACAAAAGTCTGGTGAATTGAAGTTGAATCGTCGATGGTCAGGAATAAAAGCAACTTTAATGAATAAATCATTATAGTGATCAAATCGAGAAAAATGTTTTATTTAGATTGAGAGGAACCCAGTAATCACAAATCTATTTTGAAGGGTGGACTGCATTTGAAATGGGGGCAAAGTTTTTGCTTTTCTTATCACTGACAAACGATTAGATCAGTCCGCCATTACTTCTTCTTCATATCAATGTTATCACGGAATTTAATTCCTATTAAATACATTCTAAAGTTCAACTTCCATGAATTAGAACTTAAATTATTTTCATTAATTAATATTTAAGCATTTGTTGACTTTTTATGACATAACATAACAACGGGGCCCAAAAGACGAGGCTCCCTCCCCAGGTCGGGGATATCGGGGGTAAGACGTGTCGGCTCTGATTATACTACTACTGCTACTAATATTACTAGTACTTGTGGGAATATAATATATTCAATATATGCTTCATTTTTATAAAAGTCGGGTTAATCGAAGCTGAATAGTCGATGGTCAGGAATAAAAGCAACTTTACTGAGAGTCTAGAGATAATAAATCATTTCAAGTCCTAATTTCATTTTACTTTTTGCTTTAAACAATTGCTTATTATGTCAACAATAATTACTAATTATTATCGTAAAAGTCGTGTGATTAGAAGTTGAATTGTTAATGGTCATGAATGAAATGAACATTATTGCGGGTCAAGGGTCAATAGATAATTTGATGTGGAAATTTAATTTGAATTTCAACAAGGTTAGATTTGCTTGAACGGAAATTTTAGTATTGAAACAATATTGCTTTCATAACAACAGTAAGAAAAATAAAGAAGAAGTCGCAAATAGTGTCGTCTTAATTTACAAGAGATAATGACAGAGTGACAGAGAGAGAGAGAGAGAGACAGAGTGAGAGAGAGATAATGACAGAGTGAGAGAGAGAGAGAGATAGAGAGAGAGAGAGAGAGGCATGCAAACATACAGTCAGGTAGATACAAATAGCGCGTTCACATATTTCTGGTGCGTGTACCTTGATGGGTATAGAAACATTTTCTCTTCTCAACTGATTACAATCTTGTATACCTGTCTTTGCATGTCTTCTGACCCATTTCGCAAGAGAAGAGAAATAGATCAGAAGACATGAAAAGGCGGGTAGGAATCAAATTGTTGTTTATTTACACAATGATATATTTGCCAGCCAATCTCCACGGTTATCACGGTTAGATTGGGAGGAACACAGCAATCATAAATCGATTTCAAGTTTTTCTTATCACTGACAAATATTGAATTAAATGTAAATAAATTGAAGTCACTTATTTGATAAAGAATTCAAATGAACAAGGGAAGAAATCAATCTACAAAGACAGACAAGGATAGATATATAGATAGATAGATAGATAGATAGATAGATAGATAGATAGATAGATAGATATACAAGGTTGATAGAGTGATAGACAGACCGACAGGCAGATAGTAAAACAGACAGACAGACCAGTTGATAGACAGATATGCATACAGATATACAAAATGATAGATTGACAGACAGATATACAACATGAAAAACAGACAGACTGGCTCAGAGATAAACTGTTTATACAACTATTTCCAGCATATTTACTTGAAAACTTTAGACAATAACACAGAAAGCAAATATGGAACTTATTCAGGAAGACAAATTATCTCATACACTATGTTTAATTGTGGTACGTAAAAGATATGAAGAAACTTTATAGTTTAGCCTGTATAATTTGACACCACCATTTTGTCTCCCTACCATTAAATTTGACACTTACCATTTTGTAAGTAAAATATAATCTTTGACTGTATTTTGATTTTATGGTTATTAATACAAAATCAATGTTTGGATTTATATTTCTCTATTATATAAATTTTCTTTCTCTTTGCTTGCTTTTGCCATGCGAAACATGTCTGACATTTTTTCTATCTATCTATCTATCTATCTATCTATCTATCTATCTATCTATCTATCTATCTATCTACTCCAACCTCAAGTCATATCTATCTATCTATCTATCTATCTATCTATCTATCTATCTATCTATCTCAGTCTGTTCATTATCTATCTATCTATCTATCTATCTATCTATCTATCTATCTATCTATCTATCTATCTGTGCGTGTGTGTTTATGTATATACACTTTGCATAATTATCTCACTTTGTTTTCGATTTTAGCTTAACAAGTTAATGAAATATTTATTGCATGTAACTGTTAATGAGAGAATGCGGCAGAGAGAGAGAGACAAAGAGACAGACGGAAAGAGAAAGAGAAAGAGAGAGGTTTGCAAACATACAGCCAGGTAGATACATATGGCGCTGCCACATATTACTGACATAGAAGCATTTTTACTGCTCCACTGATTACAATTTTGTATACCTGACATTGTATGTCTTCTGACCTATTTCTCTAGAGAAGAGAAATTGATCAGAAGACAGGTTTGGTGGAAAATTTATGTTAAAAGTAGATTGTCTTTGTCGAGATCTAATATATATATATATATATATATATATATATATATATACATATATATATATATACTGAACTGTAAAGGGAGTTCCAATAAGTTGGACCGATTTTAATGTGAATTAAGTTTAAGCATCTAATGATTTTTTTCATTTACTTTCAAATTTGGCGGACATTTGGGCGATATTATTATTCACACAGAAGTGCCATGGCTTAAGTAACATGATCCAATAGAGGAATAAATAAATTCTCACCAATAACACTAATTTATTTACTGCTGACTTTGATCCGTCTTAATGAAACACCCTCTTATATATAATCTGTCTTAATGAAAAAATCTTTATTTCAAAATTATGAGAATAAAGTTTTATGCAATAGTAATTTCTCCTATACTAAGAATTTATTTTATGTATTGAAGTCAATATTGAATTAAAAGTAAATAAATTTAAGTCATTTATTTGATAAAGAATCCAATTGATCCAGGGATAAAATCAATTTACATAGACAGACTAGTATAGAGAAGATGGACAGCTATTCAGACTGAGAGACAGACAGACAGACTAATAGATAGATAGATAGATAGATACACAAGGATGATAGACAGACTGATAGATAGACCGACAGGCAGACAGGTTGATAAAAAACTGACAGACAGATCAGTTGACAGATATACATACAGATATACAGAGTGATAGACAGACAGATATACAGAAGACGTGCTTGGTATTTTTCTGATAAGATCCACGTCCATTGGCCTTGCCTTTGTACATGTCATATCTTCAGACACAGAATCAATTCGTAGCTGCTTTTCTCATTCATCCATACCAACAACAGCTTCTCATCATCTTCTTGGGTTTTTGGATGATGCTTTGCTACTTATGAGGCATTGTGGAGTAATGGATAGTGGCTCGGACTGAGGAATCAGAGAGCCGAGTTCGAATTCCAATCGAATTCATTACATTCACTTACGTGTAATACACTTGGGAAAGGTATGAATCCTCTTCTTCTATGGGTAAATAGCTGGACAGATCGGGTTCTATAGCCTTGGATGGCAACTGTTCAACCGCAGAAAGAAATGACAACCTACTGCAGGAAAGACATTTTATTTCATACACTATGTTTAATTGTGGTACGTACAAGATATGAAGAAACTTTATAATGTAGACGAATTAAAAGCCTGTATAATTTGTCACAACCATTTTCTCTCGCTGTCGTTTAATTTTACACTTACCATTTTGTAAGTAAAATATATTTTTTTAGCTTAATTAACCCCTTATATAATACTACCATATAATATTAAAAAAGGGTATATTTAATTATATATATATATATATATATATATATATATATGAATTTATAATATATATGTATATATATCTGTATAATATATATATATATATATATATATATATATATATATACTGATAGATGGATCGAGAGACAGATAGATAGATCGATAGATAGATATGAATACTCTATAAATATATATGTGTAGATAGATAGATAGATAGATAGATAGATAGATAGATAGATAGATAGATAGATAGATAGATAGATAGATAGATAGATAGATTATCGTGTATTATTTATATTCATAATCTGAATTTAAGTAAAAATACCACAAGTGAAATGAGAGGAAAAATGACGCAACTAATTTTGCAACGAAAATTGAGTTATTGTTTAATCCGTCAAAAATCAGATAATTATTGAATTTTATTAAAGTTTACGGAACTTATAATAAATAAAATTCTTTTTTAAACCTTTTAAAAACCTTGTAGAAATCCTTTTTAATCCTGTCAGCCGATCCTCATTTAAATTTATGAAAATAGAAACTAAAAATGTTGACCCTCACTTTGGGGTAACAATATCACAAATACAAATAAAAATTATAAAATTTCTTAAATAAAAAAAGAACAACATTCTTTATGATTTACAATGAATGATTTTGTTTTTCTTGCTCAATATGCACGATTAATCCACGGAATTTTTTGTAAGCCGTGAAAATAAGATAAAGAGCTTTAGAAGGTAGGATTATGAACAATACGCTAGTTTGTATATATATATATGTAGATAGATACATACATACATACATACATAATATAAAAAGTAAATATAAAGTAATTTTTCACAAATGCTTTGCAAAGTCACACACATATATACAAGCCCACATCCATACACACAGAGACACAGACTTACACACGCATCCTCCACACCTACCTACAAAATAGTTTCATTATTAAAATCTTGTATCAAGCTAATTATTAGTTCTATTAGTATTAATAGTAATAGTAATAGAAATAGTAGCCTAAAATTTTCATTATAAGGAAAATTCGTTGAGTTTTAAAACAATAATTTCTATAGACTTTAAACATGGATCAAGTAATACTAAATCTCTTTAAAATCCATCAATCCTGCTATTATTATTATTATCATGATTATTATTATTATTATTATTATTATTGTTGTTGTTGGTGTTGTTGTTGTTGTATATTTCTTTTGATTTGTCCTTCGATAAAATGATTTCCGAGGACTTTGTCCTCAAATTAGTTGTGAAAGAAATTGTTTTTGCATTTTTAGTTACATTTTTTTTTATTTTCCGTGACTTTTAACATTATTACTCAGATCAGGGTACAGGCTGTTCAGACGGAGTAGAAAGAAAATGCATTATTCCAGTGTCTTATTTCGGACACATTCAAACTGGGTGTGTGCTTGTCTGTGTGTGTTTGATATATATGTGAACTGATTAATTCACCGCAAGAAAGGGTCAACTGGTAGTGAAAAGGGCTTTAGAAGGTAGGAGTATGAACCGGACGCTTATTGGTATATATTGCATCTATAGATAGATAGATAGATAGATAGATAGATAGATATGAATAGAATAAATATGTATATATATATATATATATATATATATATATATATATATATATATATCATGGTATATATTTATGTTAGTTTATTAATATCTGTCTATATATCTACAGATATATTTTTAGATAGAAGTTTTTTCATATCTATATATATATATATATATATATATATATATATATATATATATATATATATATATATATACAGGTGTCCATAAAGTTCGTAGTGCTTTAAAAAATTTATTTATTTGTATTTGCGATAGAAATAATTTGTTAAAATGATTAGAAAGAAGTAAATCTATATTTTTTTAAGGTTTTATTGAAATTTTATTTAAATTTCCACATGTGCTCCAACATTAGCAATACAAAGGGTAATACGATTTTGTAGTTCATGGAAAACATTTGCCAATTAATTTAGAGTAATGCCTGAAATCACATTAGTTATGTTAGCTATACTTAAAACTAGGTACATTAAACTTTATAACATTTTTTACAGATTATTTTTATCGCAAATAAAAATAAAGTTATAAATTTCTTAAAGTGCACACGAACTTTATGGACACCTGGTATGTATATAGATAGATAGATAGATAGATAGATAGATAGATATGAATAGCCTAAAAGATATATATCTGGATATAGATATATAGAGATGAACAGGAATATATCTGTATATATATATATATATATATATATATATATACAGATAGATAAATAAATATCAATAGACTAAAATTTATTGTTCATATTAATAATCTGAATTTAGGTAAAAATACCACAAGTGAAATGAGAGGAAAAATGACCTGACTAATTTTGCAACGAAAATTGAATTATTGTTTAATCCGTCAAAATAAAGATAATTATTGATTTTTTATTAAAGTTTACGGAAGTTATAAAAATAAAATTTTTTTTTAAACCTTTTAAAATTTTTGTAGAAATCCTTTTTAGCCCTGTCAATGATAGATCCTCATTTAAATATATATATATATATATATATATATATATATATATATATATATATATATATATATATATATATATTGTTTGTGTGTGTGTGTTTATGTGTGTTTTCGTGACTTATTTTTCAAATTATGAAATTGTTTATTTTAGGTCATTTTTTTACAGGGAGAGTTTAATAAATAGAAATTTTACAGAATTCTTGATCGCCTTTTAAAATAAAAGATATTTTTAATTTTATTAGCAAATAAAATTATGATTTTAATTGCTTTTGTTGGGTTGTTTGAATAAAAAGATCAGGAAAATTTTAAACTAATATTATTCAGGCTCCAAGGGGGGAGGCTGACACCCACAGGTCGTACCTCTCCTTCCAAAAGGGGAAGTTCTATGGGGATGAAGAGGACGCAAATTATTCCTCTTCAAGCCGGTAGGGTCCCAATTAATCGATGACCTACAAATGAGCTTGGTATACGATGTAGGCTTTGATGAAAAACCTGCTTTAGATTTTGATATGAGTCATGGAAATTTGGGTGAGGTCGTAAGTTTTTGAAAATAAATTCTACTTTCATTTCTTTTTTGGCCTTGGCGAACGGAGAAAAAAAAAACATGAATTAAATTTTCATTTCTCAGAATTTTCATTTTATTTTCTCCGCATTCATAAAATTATATTTAAAATTCATTTCAATTTTTACAGCTAAAATAAAAGTTAATATTAACTTGGATTTTTATTCCTATTATATAAATTGTAGATTTCAACTTCTATTTATTAGATATTAAATTAACGTTACTAATTAATATTTAATTATTATGTCAATGATATCTAGATTTGAAAGTCTGCTGGAAAAGAAAAGTTGTTATTTGTTAACGAATTATTTTCATGAATTTTGAATGATAAAACACAAAAAATGAGTTTAGAAATGAGTTTTGATGACTTTATTTACAAGGCAGATAGATAGATATAAGCAGAGGCCGGAATAGATAGATAAATAGATAGATAGTTATGAGTAGAGGCTGGAATAGATAGATAGAGAGATAGATAGATACATAGACATGAGCAGAGGGTGGGATAGATAGATAGATAGATAGATAGATAGATAGATAGATAGATAGATAGATAGATAGATAGATAGATAAACATAAGCAGAGGCCGGAAGAGATAGATAGATAGAGAGAGAGATAGATAGATAGATAAACATAAGCAGAGGCCGGAAGAGATAGATAGATAGAGAGAGAGATAGATAGATAGATAAACATAAGCAGAGGCCGGAAGAGATAGATAGATAGAGAGAGAGATAGACAGACAGACATAACCAGAGGCTGGGATAGATAGATATGAGCATAGTCTGGAATAAATAGATAAATAGATATATAGATAGATATAAGCAGAGGCCGGAATAGATAAATAGATAGATAGATATGAGTAGAGGCTGGAATAGATAGATAGATGGATAGTAGTAGTGGTTGGAATAGATAGATAGATAGATAGATATGAGTATGGCTGGAATAAATAGATAGATAGATATAAGCAGAGGCCGGAATAGATAGATAGATAATATGAGTAAGGCTGGAATAGATGGATAGATAGATATAAGAAGGAAGGCCGGAATATTATAGGAAGATAGATAGATAGATAGATAGATAGATAGATAGATTATTATGATATTTATGAGATTGGACTAGATAAATAGATATTTTTATGAGGTAAAATTAGATAGATAGATAGATATGAATTTATCTTTTTGTTAGATAAGATAGATAGATAGATAGATAGATAGATAGATAGATAGATGAGATATGATTATAGGCTTCAAATAAATAGATGATATTTATAGATAGATAGATAGATAGATAGATAGATATAAGCAGAGGACGGAATAGATAGACAGATTGATAGATAGATATGTAGAGGCTGGAGCCAAATAGATATAATGGATAACTTGACATTTGGATAGATAGATAGATAGATATGACTTTAGGTTGGAGTAAATAGATAGATAGATAGATAGATAGATAGATAGATAGATAGATAGATAGATAGATAGATAGATAGATATGACTTGAGGTTGGAGTAGATAAATAGATAGATAGACATAAGCAGAGGTTGGAATAGATAGATAGATAGATAGATAGATAGATAGATAGATAGATAGATAGATAGATAGATAGATAGATAGATATGAGTACAGGTTGGAATAAATAGATAGATAGATATATCTCAGATTATGGAATAGATAGATAGATAGATAGATAGATAGATAGATAGATAGATAGATAGATATGAGTAGAGGCCGGAATAGATAGATAAGACTTGACGTTGGAGTAGATAGATAGATATGAGTATTGGCTGGAATAAATAGATAAATATATAGATATATAGATAGATATAAGCAGAGGCCGGGATAGATAGATAGATAGATATGAGTAGAGGCTAGGATAGATAGATAAATATGAGTAGAGCCTGGAATAGATAGATAGATGGATAGCTAGATATAAGCAGAAGCCGGAATAGATAGATACATAGATATGACTTGACGTTGGAGTAAATAGATAGATAGATAGATAGATAGATAATTCTGAGTTGAGGTTGGAGTAGATAGATACATAGATCGATAGATAGATATGACTTGAGTTTGGAGTAAATATATAGATAGATGGTTAGATCGCTAGATAGATAGATAGATAGATATCATTTGAGGTTGAAGTAGATAGATAGATAGGTAGATAGATATATAGATAGATTTGAGTTGAGGTTGGAGGAGATAGATAGATAGATATGACTTGAGTTTGTAGTAGATAGATAGATATGACTTGAGTTTGTAATAGATAGATAGATAGAAAAATAGGTAGGTAGCTAGACAGATATGAGTTGAGATTGAAGTAGATTGATAGATATGACGAGGTTGGAGTAGATAGAGAGATAGATAGATTGATAGATATGACTAGAGATTGGAGTAGATAGATCAATAGATAGATAAGAGTTGAGGTTAGACTAAATAGAGAGTTAGATAGATAGATATTATTTGAGGTTGGAGTAGATAGATAGATATGAGTAGATGCTGGAATAGAGAGATAGATAGAAGCAGAGGCCGGAATAGATACATAGATAGATAAGTCTTGAGGTTGGAGTAGCTAGATAGATAGATAGATAGGCCAGTAAATTCAGTAGATTCAGGCCGGTAAATGTTATTTAATACTGTTTATTATAAACAGAGCATTTACTTAAATACTTGTATCTATAAAAAAGAACGTTAAACATAAAAATGTCTTTAATAAATAAATTGTCGGACTTTGTCCATTTCTTAATATATGACGTCATTTGTTTACATTTGATACGCCATGAGCAGTTATGAATGTACGAGATTCATGGAAGATTGAAGATTATAAGCAGTAAATCCGAACGCTCCTTTGTGGCCGAGTCGGTTAAGGCACGTCAGCGTATGACGGTTCCGTATAGGATGCAGGTTCGAAACCTGTCAAAGGACGAATATTTTCTATGAAAAATTTCTCGGACATTCAGGCCGGTAAATGTCATTTAATAATGTTTATTATAAACAGAGCATTTACTTAAATACTTGTATCTATAAAAAAAACATAAAAATGTCTTTAATAAATAGATAGATATGACTTTAGGTTGGAGTAGATAGATAGACATAAGCAGAGGCTGGAATAGATAGACAGATAGATATGAGTATAGGCTAGAATAGATAGATAGATAGATATAAGCAGAGGCTGGAATAGATAGATAGATAGATAGATAGATAGATAGATATACATAGGCAGACGCCGGAATATTTTGACAGACAGATACAGAGGCCGGAATAGATAGATAGATAGATAGATAGATAGATAGATATACGCAGAGGCCGGAATATTTTGATAGATAGATACAGAGGCCGGAATAGATAGACAGACAGATGCATTGGACGGAATAGATAGATAGATATACATACGCAGAGGCCGGAATAGATAAACAGACATATACAGAGGCCGGAATAGATGGATAGATAGATATACACAGAGGCCGAAATAGAGAGGGGGAGACCGATACAGAGGCCGGAATAGATAGATAGATATACACAGAGGCCGGAATAGATAAAGAGATAGAGAGGCCGGAATAGATAGATAGATAGATAGATAGATAGATAAATAGATAGACATACGCAGAGGCCGGAATAGAGAGACAGACAGATACAGAGGCCGGAATAGATAGATAGATAGATAGATAGATAGATAGATAGATAGAGAGATAGGAGATAGATAGATATAGACAGATACAGAGGCCGGAATAGATAGATAGATAGATAGATAGATAGATAGATAGATAGATAGATAGATAGATAGATAGATCCGGAATAGATAGACAGACAGATACAGAGGCCGGAATAGATAAACAGACAGATAGATAGAGGATAGATAGATAGATAGATAGATAGATAGATAGATAGATAGATAGATAGATAGATATACGCAGAGGCCGGAATAGATAGATAGACAGATATAGAGGCCGGAATAGATAGATAGATAGACAGATATATATAGATGAGATAGATAGCCGGAATATTTTGACAGACAGATACAGAGGCCGGAATAGATAGATAGATAGATAGATAGATAGAAGATATTGAGAGGAAGGAATAGATAGACAGACAGATGCATTGAATAGAATAGATAGATAGATATATAGAAGAGGCCGGAATGGAGAGAGAGACCGATGCAGAGGCCGGAATAGATAGATAGATAGATAGATAGATAGATAGATAGATAGATAGATAGATAGATAGATAGATAGATATTGACGCAGCGGCCGGAATCGAGAGACAGACAGATACAGAGGCCAGAATAGATAGATATATATACGCAGAGGCCGGAATAGATAAACAGACAGATACAGAGGCCGGAATAGATAGATAGATAGATAGATAGATAGATAGATAGATAGATAGATAGATAGATATACGCAGAGGCCGGAATATTTTGACAGACAGATACAGAGGCCGGAATAGATACATAGATAGATAGATCGATAGATAGATCAATGCAGAAGCCGGAATAGATAGACAGACAGATGCATTGAACGGAATAGATAGATAGATAGATAGATAGATAGATAGATAGATAGATAGATAGATAGATAGATAGATCTACGCAGAGGCCGGAATAGATAGACAGACAGATACAGAGGCCGGAATAGATAGATATATATACTCAGAGGCCGGAATAGATAGATAGATAGATAGATAGATAGATAGATAGATAGATAGATAGATAGATAGATAGATAGATATAGAAAGGCCGGAAATAGATAGATAGACAGATATAGAGGCCGGATAGATAGATAGATAGATAGATAGATAGACAGATATAGATAAATAGATAGATAGGAATATTTTGACAGACAGATACAGAGATAGGAGATAGATAGATAGATAGATAGATAGATAGATAGATAGATAGATAGAGAGATAGATAGATAGATCAATGCATAGATAGATAGATAGATAGACAGACAGATGCATTGAACTGGAATAGATAGATAGATAGATAGATAGAAAGAGGCCGGAATGGAGAGATAGATAGATAGATAGACCGGAATAGATAGATAGATAGATAGATAGATACGCATAGATAGATAGATAGATAGACAGATAGAGAGATATGATAGATAGATAGATAGATAGATAGATAGATAGATAGATAGATAGATAGATAGATATGCAGATAGAATAGATAGATAGACAGATGCATTGAACGGAATAGATGGATAGAAAGATAGATAGATAGATAGCCGGAATGGATAGAGAGATGACCAGATGCAGATGGAAGATAGATAGATAGATAGATAGATAGATAGATAGATAGATAGATAGATAGATATGATAGATAGAGGCCGGAATATTTAGACAGATAGATAGATAGATAGGAATAGATAGATAGATAGATAGATAGATAGATAGATAGATCAATGCAGATAGCCGGAATAGATAGATAGACAGATAGATTGAATAGGAGATAGATAGATAGATAGATAGATAGATAGATAGATAGATAGATAGATAGATAGATAGATAGATAGATAGACAGATAGATACAGAGGCCGGAATAGAATAGATAGATAGATAGATAGATAGATAGATAGATAGATAGCAGAGGAAGGAATAGATAGATAGACAGACAGATAGGGGGAAAAATAGATAGATAGATAGAGAGGCCGGATAGATAGATAGATAGATAGATAGATAGATAGATAGATAGATAGATAGATAGATAGATAGATAGATTGCAGAGGATAGAATAGATAGATAGACAGATATAGAGGCCGGAATAGATAGATAGATAGATAGACAGATATACATACGCAGAGGCCGGAATATTTTGACAGACAGATACAGAGGCCGGAATAGATAGATAGATAGATAGATAGATAGATAGATAGATAGATAGATAGATAGATAGATAGATCAATGCAGAGGTCGGAATAGATAGACAGACAGATGCATTGAACGGAATAGATAGATAGATATACGCAGAGGCCGGAATGGAGAGAGAGACCGATGCAGAGGCCGGAATAGATAGATAGATAGATAGATAGATAGATAGATAGATAGATAGATAGATAGATAGACGCAGCGGCCGGAATCGAGAGACAGACAGATACAGAGGCCAGAATAGATAGATATATATACTCAGAGGCCGGAATAGATAGACAGATACAGAGGCCGGGTTAGATAGATAGATAGATATACGCAGAGGCCGGAATAGATAGATAGATAGATAGATAGATAGATAGATAGATAGATAGATAGATAGATCAATGCAGAGGCCGGAATAGATAGATAGATAGAGATGCATTGAACGGAATAGATGGATAGATAGATATATAGATAGATAGAATAGATAAATAGACAGATAGATAGAGGATAGAATAGATAGATAGATAGATAGATAGATAGATAGATAGATAGATAGATAGATAGATAGATAGATAGATATGAAGCAGAGGATAGAATAGATAGATAGATAGATATAGAGGAATAGATAGATAGATAGATAGATAGATAGATATACAGACGCAGAGATAGATAGATAGATAGAGATAGATAGATACAGAGGATAGATAATAGATAGATAGATAGATAGATAGATAGATAGATAGATAGATAGATCAATGCAGAGGTCGGAATAGATAGACAGACAGATGCATTGAACGGAATAGATAGATAGATATACAGAGAGGCCGGAATGGAGAGAGAGATAGATAGATAGATAGATAGATAGATAGATAGATAGATATACATACCGCATGAGTTTAGAAATAGATTTTGACAGACAGATACAGAGGCTGGAATAGATAGATAGATAGATAGATAGATAGATAGATAGATAGATAGATAGATCAATGCAGAGGCCGGAATAGATAGACAGACAGATGCATTGAACGGAATAGATGGATAGAAAGATATACGCAGAGGCCGGAATGGAGAGAGAGATAGATAGAGAGACCAGAACAGATAGATGATAGATATACGCAGATAGCCGGAATAGATAAAGAGACAGATAGAGAGGCCGGAATAGATAGATAGATAGATAGATAGATAGATAGATA